TATTTCAGTTGTTTCATTATTACAATAAGTTAAAAAAAGAAATGTGTGCTGTTTCTGTTTTGACATGACAGAGCCTGAAGATTAAGCTAATCGTTGGTTTGCCAAGGTGGAAAGTTTTTTTATTAGAAAAAGTTACGAAAGGTTTATAAGGTGTATTAGCTTGTTTCAAATACTCAAACACGTATGATGCAGACAAGCACCTATTTTCTGCTTTCATATTAAAGAGGTTTTAATAAAAATGTCTGGTCTTAGTCAAACGTAAGCCACAGACCTGAAAAAATTATATGTCATTTTAATGCTATTGTTTCTTTAACAGAGTAAACATTTATTCATGACAGTTGACCAGTATTTTTGTTGTTCACAAAAACTAAAACTGATGTCGCATCATGTTTAGAAGAGTGTCATCTTCTTGATGTTTACAAAAATCATATCAAAGTAGAGTCAGTCTTGTAAAATACACTAAACTGTGCATGTGTGCTCAAAAAAATATGTAAATAGTTTGTATTCAGAGATGCTTTATAAGCTGTCTTGTACGGATTCTTACCTATTTCAGATATATATACGAACAATAGAAAAGTGAACACGTCGGTGGCACAGTGGTTAGGACTCTCGCCGACCATGCACATGGTCCGGGGCTCGAGCCCGCGCCGACGCCCACCTGATATCTATGGTCGGCCTGTGAAATTTGGGCTACCGATATCCACGCTGAAAATTCCATACTTGTACCAAAAATACAGTGTGGAATCAAGCTGCAATCAAAAAAAAATTTTTTTTAATTAAAAAAAATAAAAAATAAAAATAATTACAAGCAGTTTATGATATTTGAGAAAGTTGAAGCTGGTGGAACAGTAATAGCAAAAACCGTTCAGAAATAAGTATCAGAATATTAACAAGTGAATGGCTCACTATGTGAGCCTACTGCAAACAAAAGATCTTGCATTAATTGTGAGTAGGTGAAAGATGAAGCCTTATTGAAGAATTTTGGAAAGATGGACTTCATTGTATGATAAGTGCAATTGCATTTAGAGGAAAGAGTAAGAGAAATAGTTCAAGAATGAAGATCAAACAGTCTGTTTATCTTTTTGCTGAAAAAAACCGAATAGGAAGTTGATTTTGAGGGACTGAATATCGTGATTAAGTTAAAACTACTTGCAGTGCAAAACGTGGTAAGAGCATTGAGTCGTTCACAGAAGGCTAAGGTGTTCACATGTTTTCACCTATGATCAGGTTATTATCAGAGACCGATAGAAGAAAGTGAACGAAACAAAACAGCCTGAACTCTTTCTCAGAAGCTGTATTACATTAAGCAGAGACGATTCGGATTTAAAAGCAGGCAATTTAAGCTCAGTAGGTTAATAACTTTGTTAATGAGGAGTCTAAATTTCACAAAAGCCTATATACATAACTCGGATACGTTAACGTAAACAGAGAGTAACCATGTTAAGCTGATTAAAAATGTTTTGAAGAATTTGGACTAATCGTTTACAAGAATAAGTTAAAGATAGCGAAAAGTAGTGTTATAGGGTTAGACATTGAGAAATATACGTATTACCTGAGAAGCAGTCATCAATCAAAACCAGTACAACACTATGTTTACGTGGAAAAAGCAAAGGATACATGGCAACATTTTTAAATCTGTCCTTCGAAAACATCAATGGGATAAGTAAGCCGTTCCATCAATCGGTAGGTGATAGAAGGTTTATATTAGACTAAAGAGGCACAGCCACAACTGATCGGATGAGAGAACTCTAAAGCGATCGACTGGCAACACTAAGATTGTCACTGCTTGAGACGCAATTCATAGGTTAGACGGACACTACCGGTTTTTGTGTAGATGGTATCCTAAAACAAACAAACGGAATACCCTAATATTCAAGCCGTATTTGGACACTTGTATAAAAGAAGTGTTGAGGCATTGTTAGAAGGTTGGGGCAAATATGGAGTTAAAAACGCTGCTGTGGCAGAGATCCGTACCAAAACTAAATGCACTTGGAGAATTAATTTGGAAGGAAAATGTTGGAAGATGATTAACAGTGATTCAGAAGAGCTTTTCTTTGGTGTTGGTTCAGGAATGCTGCCAGCACACTCATAATGGCATTAGATGGTTGGAGACAATCATTAGGGAGACGGAGGCTTAGGTTCCTCGCTAGGTTGTACTTTTCAGAGATAGCTTACCAAGCTAACTAGGTTCAGCGACAAAGTCTAAAGGTGGTTCCAAAAACCTCTGCAGACTTGAAGAAGCTAAAAAATAGGTATGTGATTGCACGGCACTCGATAAATCAGGAACAAGATCGACTTCCATGGAACCTAGGTTCCACAGAAAGGTTTTAGTCTGAATGAAGAAAGGCTGACTACAGAAGCCTAACATATCTAGGTGAATCCCAACAGTTTGAACATACGTGAAGGTGAGATGTTAGCTGATGCTTGGCAAATCCTGATTAATAAATAAAAAATGCATATGTGTCACTAATTAATCATAATTGTTCTAAATTCCCGACTGTCTATATCTTATTATGGAGAGGCTAACAAATGTTTTACAACTGTTTACCCATATACATACACACACCACTGTATACCAAATACGCACATATATTTACATATTCAGTTATCTGCGACCATGAACGTTTTTATTCCTTTACGTTTCAGGTGAAACATAGGGCTTCAAGAAAGAGGCTTTAAGTTTCGGTAGCAGTGGCATTTATTTTTACGGGATAAGGTTGTTAGCCTCATGCCCATCTTTCTCTCGTTACCTATCTTCTTACTGGCTTAGTGAGGTAAAGGAGTGAGTCGGTCGAGAATTGAGCCCCGAATCACATGAGGCGTGGTTGGCCAGCATTCTGTCGCTGTGCCACCGATGCCCACAATGAACTTTTAGTCGAACGTGATCACTAAAATTCTGATGAAATTTACACTCTATTTAAGTAGACTAATTGAATTTTAGATTTTCTCGTCGATTGATTGGATCACAGTGCTCGGTCTCAGGTTGACACGTCAGCTTCTTGTGCAGGTGCTTTGACGATGTCTGGGCATGTAATTCGAGGTTAATTGGTGGATAGTGACTAGCACTGAAATCAAGAATTCGCATTTCGTCCTCCTTGGGACTCGTCTTCTGGATGTGCCTGCATTTCCCACTGAGTAACGATGTTCGCACTGAGGCTAAAACCCAGTGCCCAAAGTTTCAAACGCCAAAGCGTTATCCACTAGACCACTTGGGCCACGAGAGCCACCTCTTATGCAACGGGTCATAATAATTATTTAACTGAAATTTAACAGGCACATCAAGCTGACGAGTTCCAAGTAGGACGAAATGCGGATTCTGGATTCCACTGCTAGTCAGCATAGACCAATTAAATTCTGAAAGTAGACTAATGTTTGTAAGTCTGTGGTCAGATTTTGATCAAAGCTCATACACTTTTGTTTATTATATTTTGATGACTGTTTCATTACTCATATTATCGGACAAAGTTTTTAAAAACAAGAGATGTCCTTTTTTATATATAAACCTCTGTTATTTTAATTTCGATTAATTTCCTTGATGAAGTTCGGACCAGACTGCCAAAAGAAACATTGAAATTACTTATTCCAATTTTGCTGAGATTTTACAAATATAATTTTGACAAATGTCTACTTCTCACTCGGCGTCCAATTATTTTGTGATTATTCGGTCAAATCTTGAACACAGTTCATGTGAAGTATTTAAGTCTGTATATGAAAAATTATAATCTACTATTTTCGAAGGTACTCAACTACAGGCGGAACTGATGAGGATATCAAAGCCAGAATCGGAAAAGCAAGACAAGCTTTCATTACTCTCAAATCTGTGTGGAGGTCAACAGCACTCAGCATCAAAAATAAGATCCGGATTTTCAACTCCAATGTAAAGTCAGTGCTACTATACGGATCAGAGACTTGGCGAGTCATAAAGAGCATCTCAAACAAACTTCAGACCTTCATTAACAGCTGTCTTCGCTCAATACTCAAGATCAGATGGCCGGCCAGAAAAGATCAGCAACAGGGATCTCTGGGAGCGAACCAATCAGGAACCGATTGTGAAACAAATAGGCAGGAAGAAATGGAGATGGATTGGCCATACTCTGAGAAAACTATTAAGTGACATCACTAGACAAGCCATCTCTCGAGTGGAACCCGAAAGGGAAGCGGGCGGCGAGTTGGCCGTCAGTGCAAGGGTGACTTGCAGGAGGTCATATGAAGAGGAGATGAAAGCATGTGGGCAGACTTGGAGCGGGGTGAAAAAGTTGGCGGAAAACCGAAGGCAATGGAGACGCGTGGCTGAAGCCCTATGTTCCTCTGGGAGCTAAAGGATACAATAATAATAAATAATGATAATTTTCGAAGATATACCAATAATATCACACTTTATTATTTTCAATTATTTTTAAAGTTATAACATACACAGGGAACACACGTGTCATTACCTGCTGTTATCCATGTTTACCTTGTCATTTCTGCAATGATCTTTGTCTAACTAACTGCAAGAACAAGTAGTCGACTTTTCTGATACACGGCTGACATAAAAGTTCATAATACTTACTATCTGCTTCAACTAAACAACATCTTTGTGTTTTTTATTTTTAAATAAAGTTTCGTATATGCTGAAATTCATACTTACTGTCAGTAGTACTATCACACACTCAAGGTTAACGGCCTGTATTTGTGCATCGGTGTCTCACTTAATGTGTCACATTAATGTTAACAAACATGCTTCATATCAGCTTATTTCTTTCTTCATTATCTAACTGTAAGCGCATCTTTTGCTTGACAAAAAGTTGAAACCTTCATTTCTTAAAGATTGGGTATATTTCATGAATAACCAATGAAATATCTGAATTCACCAAAACAGTTTCAAGTGCTACACTATTTGACTGTTATTGGAATAAAAATAATAATTATAGTTAAGTAAACAAATTATTTTAAACTTAATCACCTCTACGACTATATAAATACACAGTTGATTTACAGAAAATGTAATTTGCAATAGAATGATGAGCGAAAAATCACTGTCTTTTCTGCTTTGCATTATTGCAATCAGTGAGTTTCAGAGTATTAAAATTTACTATGAATCTATACATGTTATATTTTATTCTTGTAATAGTTTTCGATAAATTCAAGACTGAGCAGCTACTATACGTGTCTATGTTTCAGGGAATGGTTATGCTTCATCTAATACTTCAAAACGATTCTAACAGTTTTAAACAGCGTTTAGTAATCCGTTCACCTGTTCCGCCGAGTTCTACCTTTTTGTAGAATACACACAACTTCCATTTCACTGATTTCGTTTAACTGGATTTACTGAATATTAAGGCAAAGGTCTTTTGTTGTGTAGTTATCAATCAAAAATAGACAGAAGAAAGCTAGCCACTGTTTACACGAAATGCACCACTGAAACTTGCACACGAGCATTCATTATTACGATATATCAAACCAAAACAACTGTAAAATGAAAAATTTGATTAAATACTAAGTGACAGGTGTATGTCTTATCTCAGCTGGCTGGTAAAAACCTATTCGGTATTTGAAACAGTGAATGTTGGTGAATACAATCACATGCTGGGACTCAGGTACGTCCTAAAGAGGACAAAATGTGTTGTACTGCCAGACACTACCTATCAAATTCAACATCGTAGTGATGAACTTATGGAAGCAGAACAACTTTTCCCATACTTATAACTGTCAATGAAAATTCGTTCAATTGTTTATATCATGAGTGAAGTACCTTCATGCATAACAGATAATTTAATTTATCGTCAGAGTGCATCCCTTCATATGCCGAAAGTGTAAAAAATAATGCCATAGTTTACAACAGGAACATATCCTCTTAGTGGAACGCTACGTTACTTACCAAAATTTATGGAATTCGCTGGTTTTATAAACAAGTAGATGTAATGTACAGTAAAATTTATTATTAGTGTGGAATATTCCCATATTATGAATTAAAAGCCAATCCCATAGAGTTAAAGGCATCCAGTGAGTTCCTAAAATTCAGCGTAAGACTCTCTAGACCAAGAATATGTAAAACAACGCAGTACACCTAATTTTAATTGTATACTCCTAAAAAGATTTAGAATTGCGTTTATGTCCTGGACCATGTTATGCCTGATCCATACGTTCATCTTAAATTTCTGATACTTGTCCAAAGTTTGGCAAGTTCAGCTAGACTGTTGTTAGTTTCATTTTTTAAGAGTTTCTTTGAAACAAATGTAGTGTAACCCCCAGAAAAATGCATCATACCCCATATCATATGCCTAACATTCTTTTGAATGTTGTTTGTTCTTCAGTGATATGTGAGTACCAGAATGGATTTACGCCCTAAAAATGCCCAATTTTTACTTATGCTGTCAATAAAACGCTTTATTTAGTTATCGCATCACAAACAAAGTGCCTGTTTAAATTGTAGTAATTAGGGAATCTGACTAGATTGCGTCATAGCATGGGGATTACATAAGGCATCTTGAAAGAACTACTTCTCTTATTTTTTTCCTTGTGTGTTGACTTATGTTATGATTGCAAAGACATTTGCCAGTAGTTTTGTAACTGGTTATCTCACTGCATTTAACTTTCTATATTAACTTTACTTTCTTTGGAACATGAATACGATATCCAACTAACAGGCGTAGAATCATCATGGTTATGGAACGATGAGCCGAAGTGTGCGTCTATGTTTTTAATAACCTCTGAAATTAAACTTTTTATTGTTTGATGTTCAAATTTCACCTTGCAACCCAAGCAGTTGTTTGCCCACCCACCATATTTTTAAAGTAGCAATGCTAAAAAAAGTAAGGATCAAATGAACCTATAAAAACATGATGAATCTATTGTGGGTTACTCAGTTTGAATTAAAATTGAAAATTCTTTCACCCAGCTTAGCTAACTAAATGGATAGATCCTCTAGTATCCGAAAAGCGTTCACCAAGGAAGTGTTAGAATTTGTTTCTCGCTTAAAAATGCATAACAACATGTTGAGGTCAATTTTTAAGGACTTATGAAGCCTTCGAATTAAAACAAGCTTGGCAGTCTCCTTTATTTCTTTGTAAAGTGGTTTCGAAAACGAATAAAGTTTTGAACTACTTATTTCTCTAAACAAATTAAATCATTTCGTGAAGTCTAAGCATGTCTATCTTAATTTTCATCTGAATAAAGCAGAACCGACGATTTGTGCAGAATAAGATGGTAACATCGATTATTCCATCGAGGTCTCATAGACTGCATACGGCCTGATGAAAACGATTAGGTTTGTGTACACAACAGTTTCAACTTACTTTCAAAGCTGATATGATACAAGTTACATTATAGCCAAGGGAGAGAGGTTAAAGACAAAGATTACATAATCAGGTAAAAGACAGGGTAAAGATTTCCAGTTACTATGGCAAGCAGAGTCTGATAACTGCCTATTTCTGAACACATTAATAGGGTTTTCTACGTCCGATAGAAATTTCTTTCGCAAAACTGAAAATGATCGAACTATTTTGTTTACTGATAACTCTACAGGATTTCATGTTGTCCATCCCACGACCGGTGCCGACCAGATGCCTACTAATGGCCCCATTGTAACCATTTGTTCCCTTTAGATGTAGACTTTTGGAAACAGGTTAGCTCCTCGCTACAATACAGATTCAAGAAAAATACCTTTTCAGAGGACGAAATAAGAACAAAGGCCTTATTTTTCGGCATTTTTCTTCTTTCCTTCAGTTTAATGTCCATCTTCAGTGACCTTAAAACTGTGGGCAGCAAAGCATATTGTTTAGCTGTTCATATATTACCCTGATACACATGGAGACTATACAACTTCCTCTGATATCTGAGCAGTTCAGATTTCAGCTTTTAAAGAGAGGTCCTTAGGATTACCAAATATCTCTAAATTAGTTGCTTTGACTTACAGTCTTTTAGATTCTGAAGATACCCTAAACTTTAGAACTAAAAGGAAAATGATGCAGAGAATTGCTTACTGATTATTTTTATTGAAGTAATAAATGTACTTACCCGAATCACTTTTTGACAGTTTCTCATAAACATTTGTCATTAAAGTTTGCGAGGACTTTCAGCTGAAGATTAATACTAAAGAAACCTTCCAGCTTCTAGATTTGAGTGTGTAACTTTGATTAGTTGACTATAGGATGTTTATTTATGATGTGGCAGAACCACCTTAGAAACCTAGAGGAAAACCATATTAAAGTTACAGTATAGTGCAAATAAGACTGCAGAAATTCTGCTTTAAAAGCTGCTGTCCGTTTTCATTAAAAAAACATTAAATATTTTCCTTGGTTGTTTTTGACTAATTTTCAGCAGAATGTAAATAACCCGTTTATAGTTTTGTACAAACGTAGGATGAATTTATATCAAGAATATTTCTTCATTCAAAGAAGTAACCATATGGATAGATACAAGGTAGTCTAACAGGAGAAATGGAGCCTTTCTGAATTATTAACCTGTTGCAGGAGAAATTCTTTAGCAGTACAAAAACGTCACTTATATTCATTATTATGTGATGAAAATGAAAACTACCTTTTTTAAATTCAAAATATATCCAAAAGTTTTTTTCTTAAATTTACATTGAATTTACTGACAGTAACAACTTTGCCACCAGAAACGGGTAAGTTTAACAAGAAAACATCATAAAAAATAGAAATAATCTGTTATCTTCTAAAATAAGGAACTATTTTATATATATGAAAAAGAGAAGACGTTCAGCGAAGAGACTGTTTTCGCCGGCGAATTCATTCACATAGCTGTACAATCGCCTTTGCATATAATTATTTGTGTGTGTGTGTGTACATAAGGTTTGTCAAGTTTAGATCATTGATCAGGTAATAAAAGAATAATCCAATATAGAAACAAGGTGAATTAGACAGAAACTAGAGTAAGATTGAGTTAGTAAGTTAGATGACGTCATATAATTGACTAAAATGTTTCAACTTAGGTTAGGGTAGCAACAGAGGTAATCACAGGTAGAGACTAAGTAGAAGTGGGGTAGATAATAATGCCATTTTAATTAGAACTGAAATTGAGCAAATATATTGGACGACGTAACATAAATGATTAGAAACTGAGTGTCGGTCAGGTCAATAACAGTGGTAGTGAGGGATGCAGCTTGGTGTCTGGATTCTATCTATTTTATTGATTTAAGATGCCCATTGGAAATTTCAAAGGGTTGACTACTGAGAAAAGAATATTCTTAACGATAACTTCATCATCAGGTTCTACAGTTTTATATCTATAATAATGAAAGAATTCGTTGTCAGGGAGAACTGTATTGTCTTTGAAAGTAATACTGAATCAATGATATCAGAATTCCAAGTTATTTGCAATTAGATTCTTAATAGATTATAGTTCAAAAAATGTGTATCTAGTGATATGTCTAATTATTGCACTAAAGTGAACACCAGTATTCTAAAGTAAACGATTATGAATAATAACAAATATATAGGAATCAAATCCTATGAGTTATGGTCGTATTAAATTCTCTCCATACTGATTATAAACTCCATATGAATGAGGGGAAAGAAATTAGCTTGAAAATTCCCATTGAGTCATATGAAAAAGAGAGAGACGTTCAGCGAAGAGACTTTTTTCGAATTCATTCACATAGCTGTACAATTGCATTTATATATAATTATTTGTGTGTGTGTGTGTGTGTGTACATAAGGTTTGTCAAGTTTAGATAACTTACTAACTCAATCTTACTTTAGTTGTTGTCCAATTAAATTTGTTTCTATATTAGATCATTCTTTTATTACCTGATCAATTATCTAAACCTGACAAACCTCATGCACACACGCACACACAAATAATAATTATATATAAATGCGATTGTACAGCTATGGGAAAGAAATTATCTGCTCCAATGTGACAGTAAATGGCTACGTTTAGATAAGAACGGAAGGTTGGTTTATGCAGGTGTAATAGTAAGGTTCAAAGGAATTTATATACACAGGAGGGAGGGTCACACTTTAAAGCCGATCGTTGTACGGTATTTATGAAGTTGTAGATTCTACAGAAAGCCAGAGAAGCAATAGTGGCTGAACCTATTTCGTTTGCACACAGAGCCCCAGTTGTTTTAGGCGAATAGCAACAGCCTCTGCTGTTTGTAGGATTCAGTGCCAGTATGCTCTCGTAAATTCATTTGATGCTCGGCAGGTGACAAAGAAAGATTCTTTAGCTAGCCCTACTGCTTTTGGAATTCTGATGTCACTGATTCGGTATTACTTTAAAAAACGTTACTGTTGTCCCTAACAATAACTGTTTGATTATCATAGATATAGAATTGTAGGACCTGATGATGAAGTTGTGGTGCAGAATATTCTTTGTTCAGTAATCAAACATTTTTATTAAAATTAACTTAATATAATGAATGTGTTCGACAGATAGATTTAATTACTAAGTACTGGGAAGTTTCTTGACGGTTCTGTATGAAGTGTTCAGTGGTAGAGAAGAGATTATTTAAGAAAAAATTTCTTTACTCAGTTAATTAATGAGCGCATCATGAACCATTAAAATAATTATCAGTAACTTGGGAAACAGGTGACCGGGATGGCAATAATTTGCTCTCAGTTGTGGTGTTTAGAAGACAAAACGACTGAGAAAAGGTTTTATTTTCAACTAGACACAGTATTTCTTCGCTGAGTCAAACTGTTTTTCAAAGTGTCTAAATGCTGATTTAGGCTAGATTATGGTTTTAATTAAGTCAGACATGAGTACAGTGTTCACAATGATAGTGAATAATAGTTATTATGTATGTTGAAGGGAAAGAAATGAGATAGTTTGGTTTACCCTTCATTTGGAGTCTGTCAATGAATTTTAACGCCAATAGTTGGATACCGATTTCAAATGTCATAATTTTTAAAATCAGGGTACCAGAGCCACCAATTTTCAGTGTTTATCCATCTGAGTTTATTATCAGATGGAATCTACATTCAAAGCGAAAAATGGGTAACAGAAGAAAAATAATTTGCTAAATATAAGTATAAAACTTGGGCCCTGTGGTAGAGTATAATTCCATTATAGATAAGATTTTATTTTGATAAATCGCACAGTGTGTTTACAGTTATATGAACTGTAAACACTGTGCGATTTATCAAAATAAAATCTTATCTATAATGTAATTTGCTAAATATCATACATTTCAGAGACTAACTGACAACTGTGATGAAGATGGATCAACTCGGTATAATATCACATAGGTAGTATTAAATTCGAATTCTAATGAACACGTAATTTTAATGCCGTCGGGTTTGGTTTCCGCATCTATCATTTAATCTACAGTGCCTATACGAAGGTGTGTATAGAATTTTTCTAGGAATAAAATGAAATTATTACCACATTACAGAAGTTAAAATTCTCATAGGATATCTGCATGAACTTTTGAATATTTCAGAAACTACTGAAAGTAAGCTGATGAATAATTAATTGAGTGACAGAAATTTAAATTGTGTATCTATTGGGTAAAGTATCTTCTTTTATTTCTTTACGTTTCCAATGGAATATAGGGTTTTACGTTTCGGTAGTAGTGGTGTTTATTCTTATAGGATGGGGTTGCCAGCCTCATGGCCATCCTTTCCTCTTTAACAGTCTTATTACTGGCTTAGCGAGGTAAACTAGTGAGTCGGTCGGGGATCGAATCCCGAGCCCCATCAGGCTTGGTTGGCGAGCATTCCACCTCTGTCCTACCAACGCACAGGTATAGTATCTTACTCAACACTTATTGAAACTAAGAAGATTACATTTGTAATAAAAAACACCTACTAGATCTGTGAACCAATGTAAAAGATTTTTATTTCCATCGTAGTTAAAATTTATTTTGATAAAGTCTCAGTGTTATACAGTAACATTTGCTTATGACATGATAATTATATCAACTTTGATGTCAGTAAATGTTACTGCGTAACAGCTGTCTCCCATCAATACTCAAGATCAGATGGCCGGCCAGAAAAGATCAGCAACAGGGATCTCCGGGAGCGAACCAATCAGGAACCGATTGTGAAACAAATAGGCAGAAAGAAATGGAGATGGATTGGCTGGCCATACGCTGAGGAAACCATCAAGTGACATCACTAGACAAGCCCTTGAGTGGAACCCGAAAGGGAAGCGGCGAGTTGGTCGTCCAAGGGTGACTTGGAGGAGGTCATGCGAGGAGGAGATGAAAGCATGTGGACAGACCTGGAGCAGGGTGAAAAAGTTGTCAGAAAACCGAAGGCAATGGAGGTGCGCAGCTGAAGCCCTATGTTCCTCTAGGAACTAAAGGATACAATAATAATAATAACACTGAGACTTTATCAAAATAAATTGTAATCGCCACAGTGCATAAGTTCTATTCTTTTATAAAGAATTGTTGTTTTGAACTGTCATCAAATGTTTTCCTACTTATTCCTATTCCCATTACTAGAGATGCAATTGGTTCAGTTACTAAATCCAGCTGGAAGAATATTATTGCCTAATAACTGACATTTCTCATTTGATTGCATCATACGTTTATCTATATGTCGGTTTTAGTATCTAAACATGATTCAGACTAACAGCTTATGAAATTGTTGCTATCACAATGGATAGTAATACAGTCCTGCTATTTGTTTTATTTCATAAAGTAGGGAACCGTTATGTCTGACATTGTTATGATGAGGTTTGTGGAAAGTGAAAAAGATGAGGACATTCAAGTTAAAGTGAAATTAGTCTGATAATTAGGTGTCAGTTCTTGTGGTTGCAATTGTGCCTGATTTTGCCAGATTGCCTGATATATACGAATTTAAATTCATAGGAAAACTACACCAATCAATGACATTTTTGATATGGTGTAAGGAAAAGGAATGAATAAACAACATCCCAGCTAATGCTTTATACACCTTAAAGTCAGATGGATGGTTTCACCTCTGAGGAGGTACTGGAAATGATGATTAATATGTTGTTGAAAAATCATTCGAACATTACAGATTCCTTGTTTTTCTTATTCACCTTTCATCTCATAAACCCATTTGAAATGAATTAAAAGTCAATCTGAACGAAGAATATTCTTTTCAATAATTTCTTTTCAGGTTCTTACAATTATAAAATATAATATTTGTGGTCGTTACATTAAAGATAGCCAGGTATGCGGCGGATACATTTTTAACGTAGAGTAACAGATTAGCAGCTATGGGGTGTCAAAATAAATAGTCGTATTTGAGTGTGACAAACATGCTAGGCTGAAATTGATTAGAAAATATTGTACAACGGGAGACAATGGTGGTGATTAATCATAATAGATTTGAATAAGGCATTAAGAAGACAAATTTCGCGAAATGATATCATTGCGTAGTTTCTTTACAACCGCTTTACAACTAACATGGTTAACAATGATAAAATAAAGTTCATGAAAATTACTCAGTTAAATAAAAACAAAAGTACATACTAATGACCAATCATATTAAGATAGGTCATGCAGTCCAGGGTAGGCGAAGATTGAAGTCTATTGATTTTTGTATACACAGTTTAGGCTGTATGTGATTAATCCAAAGTGCTTCCATCACCTTCAATAACCTTGAATTAGAGTTATGTGAAATAATTGTGAAACAGTCATTAATATTGATTTTGTGACCAGACATTAATAAGTGTTTTGCAATGGATGATGCTGGATTTCTACTAAGATTAATCGCGTTAGGATTTTCGATATGATTTACTAGCCATTTTGGAACATGTTCTTTTCGACGACATTGGAACATTCTGTTGGTTCTACCTATATAGGTGTCACCGCAGCTGCAGGTGAACTTGTAGATACAGTTTGAAGTAGAGTCCACAGAATTTCGTCCTTTAATCGTAGAAAAAGGGATCGAAAATGTTCGGCAAGTGAGAAAAAGAGATTCGGCGTAGAATGTGCGTTTGATGGCTGACCGAAGTCTTTGAGCTGTCAACTGCATAATCTGGTCGCCCTTGAATGGTAGATTAATAAAGATAGCTTTCTTTGGTACAGAAGCTTTCTTTTCAAGATGCGGTCTATCCTTACCGTGACAATTGATGAAGTTTTCTGGATAACCATTGGCTAGTAAAACTGAATGTATATGTCGAAGCTCATCCATCAATGTGTCACTCGTACATATTTTTCGAGCCCTTGAGAACAAACATTTCACCAGGGAACGTTTATACTGGATAGGAACAAAACTGGTAAAATGAAGATATTGTCCACTCCACGTCTGTTTACGAAAAATAGAGCGCTGAATCGTTCCATCATTTCTCCTAGTCATAGTAATATCCAGGAAACCGAGTTTGTTATTGGATTCTAGTTCGGAGGTCACTCGAATATTTGGATGGATATGATTAAATAGGGTGATAAAGTTTTCAAAAGATTTGCTATTATTACTAATAATAAGAGTATCATCTACATAACGTTTGTACAGCATAAATTCTCCAAGCATACCTTGCATTTGTTTCTCTAATTTCGACATAAATATATCTGCTAACAGGGGCCCCAGAGGGCTACCCATTGCAACACCGTCGATTTGTTTGTATGCTTTTCCTTGGAATGTGAATCTAATATTTTCTGTACACATTAAGATGATGTCCTTGATGTACGTTACAGGAATAGGTAAGTTTATCCCGTTGCTTGTGATGTAGTCGCAAATGAAATCAACAGTTTCTTGAAGGGGAACATTGGTGAATAAAGATTCTATGTCGATTGAACACATAACCTTTTCCTTAATGTTCAAGGTGTCTAGCATTTCTGTAAGATCAAATGAACCTTTTATAGAATGATTTGATAATGAGTCTCTTACAGGCGTAAGGACCTCTGTAATCCATTTGGCGATTTTATGGTAAGGAGAATTTGACATATCTAAGATGGGTCTCAGTGGGCTCCCAGTTTTGTGGATCTTCGGAAGGCCATAAAGCTGAGGAGTATGTGACCCAATTGCTTTAAGTTGTTTATAAAGTTTTTCATTTATAAAACCATGCATCAGTAAAATTTGAAGCTGACGATTGATCTGCTTTTCCACAAGCAGCACATTATCAGTAGCATTGTCCACCAGAAATTTGGACTGATCCTTGAGGATATCCTTCATTTTATTTTCATAATCCGATTTGTTCATAATAGATTTGTAGAGTGTGGGGTAGGAAAATTGACAAATCAGTTCAAGGTTATAAAAGGTGTTAGGTGAGTGGCTAATACATCTCGCGAAATTTGTCTTCTTAATGCCTTATTCTAATACAAAGTGGTCTGTGATAAACAGGAGGTAGTAAGACTGCAATGAGAGGTTCATAATGAAATAACGATTATGTGAAATGAAACTGGTGGAGGCATATAATAAGAAAACAGATAATATCACTCACCCACTCACCTGACACCTTTTATAACCTTGAACTGATTTGTCAATTTTCCTACCCCACACTCTACAAATCTATTATGATTAATCACCACCACTGTCTCCCGTTGTACAATATTTTATAATCGAAAAAAAATTGATATGATTATGAACAATAAATTGTGTTCGAAACGTCATCCAGTATACAATACTGTTTCACTGTGTGATACATTTAACAAATAAACTAATATGGAATAATCGATTTCAGCCTAGCATGTTTGTCACACTCAAATACGACTATTTATTTTGACACCCCATAGCTGCTAATCTGTTACTCTACGTTAAAAATGTATCCGCCGCATACCTGGCTATCTTTAATGTAACGACCACAAATATTATATTTTATAATTGTAAGAACCTGAAAAGAAATTATTGAAAAGAATATTCTTCGTTCAGATTGACTTTTAATTCATAATATGGGAATATTTCACCCTATCAAATCATTTGAAATGATCAACAATAAGGAGATGATTATGAATAACACTCGATATATAGTTATCGATGAATAGTTATTTACTCAAATCATCGAAAATGTAGTACATTTTTGTATCAAATGTATCAAATGAAAGGTCCTTGTGTTTTATTAGTTGTATAAGTGGGCGCCTATTTTGTTTTGACCAATAAATACACAATGAAATCACTCAGAAATCTCCGCTTAAGAAAACATAAACCTTATTTTGTTTATCGTTATGCATAACAAAAACATTAATGCACCCAATTCTGTGTTTTACAGTGGCTACTGAAAAAAGTAAGTTGGTTTGCATTTTTTGATAAGGGCAGATTACTTATAATCAGAAGTAAGTAAGTAAGTATTTTTCTCGTAGCATTTCTCACTTACATACAATATCTTCACACAAATTTACTCATAAATCATTGCTCCTCTGATCGGCTGAATTTTTAAACATGAAATACTGAGACAATGGCAAACAGAATAGGCTTTTTACTTGTTTTTATAGCAAAGATGTATGGATGCGAAGGCAAGAATCATAAATTTGAAGATTCCTCTGTGGATAATTTATCAATATATAAAATGAACCGAATATCTGCGTATAAAGAATAAAAACTCGTTTTTATACAAAAGTAATCGTATGAGGCAGAAACTTCGCATAGATTAGAATGAAACCAGCTATATGAAATTTGAGAGCATGAAAGAGGAATGTTCACAGTTAATTCTTAAGTCAGCTTATTCACAAATGAATGCAGCATCAACCATTTATATTGCCCAAACCAAAACTTCAATTAATTAACTGCATTACAAGTCATAATATTCGTTTCACCTGCAGACATTTATAGATAGAAAGCCGATATTGATCCTGGTGGCGATTTCTCATTTCTTGATGGATAGTTTTTATTCTTCTCTCCCAATTTCTCTTTGTATCCTAGCCACTCCAGGTGAGTTGCATACAGTCTATTTTATCAGTTATGTCTTAAGGAGCAACTCTGGCTGACTAACGTTTGTGTTTCCAGTTTTGTCAGAATTTTAATTTTGTTTTATGTGACTATTTAACATTTTGCCGTTGAATGTCCCAACAACAGCTCCACAGCAATATCACAAAATCACTTTAATTTTAGTCAGTTTGATAAACTTTTAGTACACACGGATAAACCACTCAATGACTGGGCTCTCACTATCTATATCCTTCAACAAGACATTCTGAATGCGTCTCATCTCCTCTGTTTATTTGTGGTAACACTTACAGCATTTCAAAGTAGCAAATAAAATCGTTGTTTTGTAAAATAAAAATAGTAATTAGATATCTGTATTTTACAAGCTCTGGTATTCAAACTGAGAACGTTTTCTATTGATAAAAGCTACTAATTATGTGTAGAACACTTAACCCTTGAAATATTACCACCAATAAAATCAAGGAATAAGAAACAATACAATTATACAGAAAAGTTTGTATGTTGAGACAGTGAGGTGATAAGATTGTGAGAAATAAGTTGTGTCCGAAACGTCACCAGTGAATAATACTCTATCATTGTTTTTGGATCAAGTAAAATCATTCTGTAACGTAATTATACTCGTGCACAGCTCCCGGTTCTATCTTTATACACTTACATATATTTCTCCCTTTTTGGATGTTCTTCAAAATTATGATTTATATTATAAAGGGTGATATTATCATTCAGAGAGCTAATTAATTGCTTTCTTCTAACAAAATGCTTACTTCTGAAACTTTCTTAATTCCAGTGAATCAACTAATACAATAAAATACAACTATTCATTTCTTTTTAGTACTATTCAATCACCATTAGAAATGATTCCGACTTAAACTTCGTAAAATCTCCTGAGAAATAAATCAATTAGTACCCACATTCTCATCAAAAGTATTTCAGTTATGCCTTAAACATCTATGCTTTGCTTGTTTGCACACTAAATTCTTTAACTCATTTACAAATAAGAGAACAAGTGTATACATGGTCTAATGCAGTTAAAGAAACTGGATTATTGTGGGTGTAAAAAGGTCAAGGTTTAGCTCGGTTGATGTCGGAAACACATTTGAGTCTTCTAAGACTACTTTTTTAAATTCATGAATAATTCCCATTTGAACATTAGTAGACAGAAGACAAGTAGTTCAGCGAAGAGTCTCTTTTCGGCGAATTCATTTTCATAACTGTACAATCGCAAATATATATGGTTATTTTGTGTGTGTGTGTGTGTATACATTAAATTTGTCAAACGAAAATACAATTAGTAAGTTCAGATGAATTGGATGTTGATAAGAGGATAGTAACAAAAGTGATGAGTTGTCATAAATGATTGTTAAAGAGGAGTAAGTTCAGGTGAATTGGATGTTGATAAGAGGATAGTAACAAAAGTGATGAGTTGTCATAAATGATTGTTAAATAAGAGTTACGTAATGGCATGAATAGTTTGATGTATGAGTTGTGCTCAAAGGGTGTACATGGAAACAAAATAATATACAGAATTACACAAGGGTTTTAAGTTAGAAAAATAAGCATACAAACAGAAGTAAGGTCAAATCAAACAAACAAAGAAAAGTTAGGTCAAATCAAAGGAGTAGTTACCATGCGAGTAGAAGTGGTTGGATAATTTTCTTTTGTATGCATAGTTCTGGTTCCTCCGACTGGATGGCTAGGGCTTCTGCGTCGATTACATTAAAGATATCAATACAAAGAACAAAACTATGCTCTCCCTCGACATTGAATCACTATTTACCAACGTTCCACTCACAGAAACTGTCTCTTATATTTGTCACTATATCGACGAAAATCAGCTAAACATCGGATTACCGACGACCTGTTTAAAAGAACTACTACTGAGATGTACACTAAATGTGCAATTCACATTCAACGACATTATTTACAGACAACAAGATGGGATCGCAATGGGATCTCCACTGGGCCCATTACTAGCAGACTGCTTCATGGCAAGCCTTGAGAATGGCCCACTCAAATCAACCATCGACAATTTCCAGTTGTACGTTAGATATGTTGACGACATCTTTATCATCTGTGATGACGGTCACGATCTCAATCAACTACTGCAAATATTCAACAAATGCCATCCAGCCACAAAGTTCACTTTCGAAACTGAGAATGAATCTAAAATCCCTTTTCTTGATGTTGAGCTTACAAGGAGAGATGACGGAACTTTAAGAAGGTCAATCCATAGGAAACCGACTTGGAACGGACAATTAACAAGTTTCTACAGCTGGGTACCAATCAGTCGGAAAAGAAACCTAATTAAATCCCTTGCCACTCGCGTCAGACGCATCTGCAGCTCCGACACCATGGAAGAAGAACTAAACTTCCTGAAAGAAATCTTCATACAAAATGGCTACCCACCAAGATTTGTAGAGAAAAACATCAAACAGAAAAACCAAAAGCAAGAGACACTATCCGTGCCAAAAAAGATACTTTATATGAACCTAGACTTCAAAGGAGACCTATTTAGTGACGTCCTCAGAAGGAGAATTTCCACCTCTTTAGGAAGAACTTTCCCTGCGGCAACACTAAGAATAGTGTTTTCCAGTCGTCCGCTGATCTGCAGAAACCCAAAGGACAAGATTCCGCACATGACCACTTCTATGTGTATATATCAGTTCACCTGTTGCTGTGGAGCCAGGTACATCGGTCGTTCAACGCGCATTCTGTCTACAAGGGTCAAAGAACACTATCCAGCGTGGCTACAGAAAGGAAATAATGGCCATATAAGGAGTGCAATAATCGAACATCTCGTCAATACTGGTCATTCCATCTCAACGAACGCCTCCTTCAAAGTAATCTACAAAGTGAAGAACAACCTTCCAAAGACAGTACGATTCCGTCTTCTTTGCATCGCAGAAGCCCTAGCCATCCAGTTGGAGGAACCAGAACTATGCATACAAAAGAAAATTATCCAACCACTTCTACTCGCATGGTAACTACTCCTTTGATTTGACCTAACTTTTCTTTGTTTGTTTGATTTGACCTTACTTCTGTTTGTATGCTTATTTTTCTAACTTAAAACCCTTGTGTAATTCTGTATATTATTTTGTTTCCATGTACACCCTTTGAGCACAACTCATACATCAAACTATTCATGCCATTACGTAACTCTTATTTAACAATCATTTATGACAACTCATCACTTTTGTTACTATCCTCTTATCAACATCCAATTCATCTGAACTTACTAATTGTATTTTCGTTTGACAAATTTAATGTATACACACACACACACAAAATAACCATATATATTTGCGATTGTACAGCTATGAAAATGAATTCGCCGAAAAGAGACTCTTCGCTGAACTACTTGTCTTCTGTCTACTTTTTTAAAGTCAGTTTTGGAAGAAGCTGCTTCTAGCTACACAGTGTCGCAATGTGAACATTTTGTTTTGTTATAGACAAATAGAATGAATTTGTCATGTGCGATTCACAGGTGATTTAAGCGGAAATATCTATCTACTGTTTTCTATTTATAAATAGACACCTAAGAGTAATGAAGTCCTGAGACTTTTTTAAGTTGTGAACTAAACAGTCTAACAAACAAAATGTCATGTGTTCACAGTTCGGTTCTCTGCTGGCTATTTTTTTTTGATGTCGTTCACAAAGAACTAAGACTTCTTAAATAATTCTAAATTTGCCTTAGAAAAAGGCTAGTTATGTACGTAAAAGGACTGTATTTTCACTCCCAGAACTTAGCATAAAACGAATTCACGAGCTTATTTCATCTGTATCGAAACTGAACTTCACATTACTGGGTGAATTATTATCAAATACCTGCATATACTGAAAACAAAGCGATTCAAAATAAAAACTTTAATTTACGAACAACCTAAAGTTTCGCGTTCATTTTGTAGTTGGACCAGAAATTCGATAAAATGTTTAAAAAAAATGTGTTCATCATTTATCAACTTAAACTACAAGATGACATAAATACTTTGACGATTCTATTCAATGTCAAAGATTTAATGCCATTTCAGCTTTTCCAAGAAACTTAAGGAAAAACAAATTAAAATTGTTTAAATAGATTTAATATGTTACAAGCCCTAATAGTTTTCGCGATTTTTCTATGACTTCTACATACATAGTCATAAAATTCTATTTTAGAGCCCGGCTTATTGGGTTCAGTATTTGAGTAAGTGGGATTCACCATTAATTTTAGCGTCAAATTGCTATGTTGCTGCAGGAAGAGTTATTTCTTCCAATATATTAATTCACTATGTATTAAAGGACAGGGTAATATACACACTAGTTTTCTTCATTACACTCCATTTTAACAACGATAGGAGCGCCCAATTTCCTGATTTTCGTTTAATGCCATCATATATGTACTATTGGGATTGATCGTCACAGACTTTGACGACTTAGGGATTGACCTATTGACATGGTACAGTCTCGTGGACTCTGAGTGTATGGATAATATCGTCCTCCTAGTTGAAGACTGTGATTAAATGCAGTGTAAATATACGGGGACGAAAGGGTTAAGCACGCTGATTACCTGACTTAATTATGGATTTGCATCAGTCCTAATGGACTGATTGCTAACGAAGGTTTAACACCGATACAAGCGGCTCATGTGGCATTTGTCAGCTTACGTTTTTTGGGACATAGACATGTTATCCAGCTATCGATCAAGGGACTGAATAACAATTTGCTCTGTCTTCATTTATGACTGTGAAGCACGAAGAGTGAGAATGAAATATATAAAAAGAGTATTTTTCTTTGAACACAAATGTTTGCATTCTGTCTCCATTAATAAGTGGTATTATATGGTGGGCAGTATTGTGGTTAGACGCAGGGTGTTAGGTAAGGAGAGTGAGTCAGTCGACGAAGTTGTGAAGCCACATTGACCGGGATAGTGAGGATATGTATTTCGCATTCAGACTGTCGTACTCCTTGACAAGTAATGTTAGTCACTACGGGTTTAGTTTAGAAAAGAGTTATGGGTGGTCAAACCGAAATCTGGCTATAACCCATGGAATTGTTGACACTTGGTTCGAACAACGTAGGGTGGTGTTGAAGGCCTGATTGTGGTTCTAAAAATGTTCAGACATAATTGGCTGGAGACTAGTGGTGATATCGCTCACAACTATTCTCAGCAGTGAAGATGTGTTCACTCTTTGTGATCTGTCATATGCAGTAAAACATTAAGTTTTTCCACGTCACTATTCTTTCTTTCCCATTTTTCTGACTATCATGGTTCTTTTGAATCTCTATTTTTCTCTATTTTGTCTACCTTTAAGTGCTATATGCGGTGTGGCACTTTGGAATTGTGCAAAGTTCTTCCTTGAAACTCCGTTAGTCACTTTAATAGTAAAGTAAATTTCAATTTATATCTGTATGCAGACTCACTACTAGGCTCCGTAATGCTAAGTGCATGACCTACAAAAACAAGCTAGACTTTTTCGAGGTGAATATATATATAACGCTATTACTCCGAATGGTAGTTTTACGAATATTTGCTTGCTTACTTCACACCAGTTAGTTCTCAGTTTCAATGTAGAAAATGTTTCACCTAATTCACAGGCATCTATTTTATTATAAGTAACTTATGTAAATGATGAACACATCATTTTCAATAATTTTTTCTGCCACAGTCTTGGTAAGTTCAGAAAGTTTTCATTGTTATTAACAGTTTACAACATATATGTGAACTTTCGTTAGACTTATATTTCGAAGAAGTTGAAAGATTGATACACAGAGAAGAGTAACTTTATGATATTCTTCATTGGTCGTCCGAGGGTGAAATGGAGGAGATCATGCGAATAGGAGATGAAAGCATGTGGACAGATGTGGAGCCAGATGAAAGCGTTGGCAGACAAGTGAGCAAAATGGAGACACACTGATGAAGCCCCTGAATATATCGGCAGTTGAAATGATTATTATTATTGCTTCCTTTAGTTCCTAGAGGAACATAGGAACTGAAGGAAGCAATAATAATAATCATTTCAACTGCCGATATATTCGTGACGGCCGGCTTAAATTTTGGGCTAAAAAAATCCTATCCATCATTTATCCAATCGACTTTCTCCTGTTCCATTTGTTTTGGCCTATTAGCTTAATAAAATATGACCTTCAGTCGCATAGTTTACACTTGTGATTATTTAAAATACATAAAGGCAAGATTTGGAAATTTCGACAAAATCTAAGAAAAAGAGCCATTCTAGGTAGCAAAATGCATTAAAACGTATTCCGATGCATAAAGTGACTGTTTCGAAGATTATGACTACAAACTATTGTTCCCTACCACGTAAAGCTGATTGTTTGCAATCTCTGGTGTCCGCCGGTGCATACAACAATACTGCGATTATATCTCTTCAAGAAGCCTGGCTCTATGACGTTTGTGATGTTAATTTAGACTGTTTGGGTGATTTTAGGTTGTTGAGACATGTTCAGTGTAGCTCTAAGAAAAAATTCGGTGGTGCAAACAAGGTTACAATTAGTGAAGCTGTACTTCCAGTGCTGTACTTCCAATAATGTATGTTTTAGATTTCCAAGTGACAAAATTGACTACCACACAGTTAAATATCGATCAAATTACCTATCCATATATAACTACACATACATTGCTAATATTTATATTGCACTTGGATGTAGTCTCTCAGAACTATCTTTATTAGCTGGTAGATTCACTTCGTTTGCAACCCTTTGTCAGTGATTACTTGGGTCTTGAGTTCGTATGATTACAGCTTCCTTACACCACTAGGTAATGAAAATATTACCAACTTTTTAGCAAGACTTGGAAATACTCTTGATCCCGTGTTGCGTAACATATTTGAAGCTATAGAAAGAGCCTCACTATTCCACTCAGATGGTTGCGCCATACGAACACTACCCAAAATATATTAAATTAATTCAGAAGTACAGTGATTAGATATGACCTAAATATGAATTTATCATGCAAAATCTCATAAAATATGTGAAAGCTACTTTAAGAAATCACCAGTTCTCATTTAGTTGATGTTGGTAAGCTTAATAAATTCTTAATATGACATCCAGAAGATATTATGATCTCAAATGCTACAGGTGTAAATAATGACTCCTTCCTTGGTTCTATTACAAATGGCATCCCCGATTGTTTTCAATCTTTAAAACCTACCCAGCCCCCAGGTCTAGAAGGTGCAATTGCTATTATCCTCATTTTATGTTATCCTCCCAATGGTATATCCAATGAATATTTTTACATCAGCAATGTGCCTGCTACCTCGAAGGACATTACAGTTGTTCATCTGCCTCAATAATCAAGTGGATCAGAATTTGGTTTCAGCCCTATTGCTGCCACCTCACCTTTTTAAAATTAATGGAGAAACAAGCTTGCAGCAAAACAGGCGGGTGCTGGACTGATAGGAACTAGTACACTGAATACAACTGGAAGTTCTCCACTACTTTACTTCCTCCAGTTACCCTTCTTCAAGGTGCAGTTTTTCTGCTTGCACGAACTTCCCCGTTCTGACGAAGCCAATTTTGTTAAGTACACCATTGATGTGATTGTTGTCATACCCGTTATTTATTAGTCAGATTGTTCCAAAGAGAGTAACTTTTTATTAGAAATCAGTCAGTGGTGCTTTTCAAACGGTCTAAAGCTTGTTCCCTCCAAATGTCAGGTTGCTGATTTCGCTTTCAGACGCAAGTGCGACTGATATCAATTGGTTAGTTCGCATGGCTCCACTATCTGAAATGGCACAGTTAAAACTAAATCGGATTTCAACTACAATGGACCGTGTGTTTTCTCCGATCTTTTTTCCCACATCATGTTAGCTTCCAAAAAGATATTTCTTTTTACATAAGGCAATTAAGACGATCTGGTATCACTCAGTTTCTAATTCTACAGTGTTAATCCTTGCATTCGACCCATCCCTCTTTAGTGCTCCAATGCCTTAATCTGTTATGGGCTAATTAAGAAAGACTTTGTTACGCTACAAAGGGTACTAAAAGCTATCATTAGGGTAGGCGACGTCTCGCTAAACAAAATCCTTAGTACTGCTGCATATAGACACATGAATTCATTCGGGAAATTAGCCAATATTAACTTGTAGGACCCTAACTATCCTCACTTTACACAATTCTTTCCTTGCATCTCATCATTTAGGACTTGAAACAACAATGGAAGACTTTGTATTCGGATGACTAAGCATAAAAGCTCTATCATACCTTGTTTGGCTTTTTATGTAATTAGAAAGACTTAAGGCGGGACTTTACTAACTTATTGCAAAACGTAAAGTAAATGGCCTTCTTTTTTCTTATTATTATGTAGTTGCTATTATTTAGACTTAATTTAATTTTCATATTCATATTGAGGAGTATTATCAATTTAAATGCCTTGTTTTTATTATCACCACGGTAATGGGAAAATTAGATGCAACACCCCACTACATGTTGAAAATTTCATATCTGTACCAAAAGTATTGCTTAGAATAAAGCTGCTTTTATTGATATGCTAATATTCACATGAAATTGTGTATTCTTAAACACACAATACAAATAACTTAGCATCATTAACTGATGAAATAGACTGAACATAATGTCTGTTTCTAAGATCATGGAATTCGTACTGATGACTTCACCACTGGTGTTTGAAAGATGTAAAAACTTCGTGTTTCGAATTTCCGTTGATGACAAAGCATGTGAGGACTGGGATGTTTGTTTGGAGAACTGGTTTAACATTTAATTGGGTAATTCATCTATGCTCATAATTGGCATCAGTCTTGAAATTTATAGGCTTGTAAATATTATGTGTATAAGCACTTTTCACTTAGTCGTTTAACAAAACAGTGAAATGGATTCAGTTGGGAATTGTACGGGATTCTGAAATATTCAGTGTCACCTTAAATATATACTTATGTCATAACATTTTACTACTTTTGTAGTGGGAGGTTTTCTGGGTCCACCGAACAGGTAAGTTAAGCATTTCAAGGATTAGTCTACACTATTATCAGAAAGTGTAAAATTCAATCTTCTCATTAAAACATATTTGCTTACTTTCGCATTTTGCAAATGTTAGTTTGAATTGATAGAAACACTCGAGCTAGTAACACGGTCATCACAAATTTTGCTTATCAGCCACCGACGCCGTACAACAACTACTTTCTATAATGTATATATAATGTACGGGACACTGATGCTGACTTTAGAAACGATAAATCCATTTATCTGTCCAGCTGTTTATGAGACAACTGACTGGTCAATTTTCTAGACAATCTACTAATTCACACATCACCTTTCAGTTTAGAAGAGAAGTTTTATTTAAGTTCAACCTGAAACACTCCGCCTACTTCTTGCATTTAGATGACCGAATTTAAGGGAGTGATTGGTTGTTGTCATAAGCCTCAGTGGCTTTCTTAAGTCGCACTGCAAATATGCCCAGGAGTTTACCTAGTAAGGAATCGCTAGTTAATTTCTTTTTATATGGGGGATTCACCGTTTCAGTTCCTGTGTCGTGTTCACATGTCTGTCCCAACCGCAACCTCATACATAACATTGCCAGATATGCAATAAGCCAACCTTTCTGTTCATTTTCTGTATTCTACTGTGTAGGCCTTAGTAATAACAGGTGTAACGAAATCAAGATATTTTGGGTCATCTACCAAGTTAGCTGCAGGTAGATTTAGTGACTAAGTATAGTGTATGATCCATATCTTCCTCCCTACGGGTGACTGAGAAGCTTTGGCATTAGCAAGACCGTCCTTGAAATAACTGATGTTTGTTGACTTATCTCCCAGACATACTTAAATTCGGAATTTGACCGCTTATAGTACTTAGTCGTAAGTCTAATCAAACGCTCTAAAATCTGTCAAGACCCAGAAGACTATGTTTTGCATCAGCAATATGGCAAGTTGTATTTACAGTCATGCTGAGGGAAGAAACTGAACAAAAAGTCCTTGCTGCTAGTTACAGTCGACAAAGTTTAGTGGGTTTTCCGAGTGGGGTGGTCGGATTTTCAATTACGACGTTTTGGATATAATGTTGATATCGGATGCTGTGTCTATATGCAGCCGTGCTAAGTGATCATTAACCCGAAAAGTCATGAAGCCTGAAAATCAAAAGCAGAAATCACACCAAGAGATTTGCCCTCAGGATTCTTAAGTAGTGCTACACATTGTCGCCACCTTTGTCCTGATGGCTTAAGTGAAGGTGTCTTTTGTACTTTTCTCTCTCAGTTTCTGGATGCTGAACTTCACTTTTCACCCATTCCAAGATTGTTTGAAGGTCCGATTTGACCTTGAAGGTTCTTAGTACTAGATAATACTCTGAGAATGCATCTATTTTTTTCTGGATTTCGCATCCAATAGTCTGAGTGTTCACTTTCTTGGGATTAAGATGAAGTCTATATGATTTTCGGTGTATCCATTCGGTGAAATGCGCGTCACACTGTGTGTTTTTGTGTTCGTTTACGCTGCCTCCATTCATCAAATTACTGAAGGTGCAGAAGTCTACGAAGGATTGTCCATTGTAATGCATTTCACCGAGTAGCTCCAGACCCATGATGGATTTTTTCCCTTTGTTGTTCGCTCCCATTTAGACATTGACATCACCCATTATGATTTGACTGCCACTATTTGTGGTTTTGTCCATGACTGTTTGAAGTTTTTGTGGGTTCATTCTTCCTCTCTTGGTCTGCGTTGTTTGTAGCAGTGTGTATAGCATTGCATAGTTGTAGCCTTGCCGCCTTTTGAACAAATCTTGCTGTCATGGTCTTAGAAGAGATTGATTCCCCCTGCCTAAGAGCCTTCGGTGATTTGGTGATATCATGGAATCCACTTTCTCATCGTACTAGTGTGTTGTCTTGGTGACAGGAGTAAACTATTAACTCTCCGGTTAACGATTTGGAGAGTCCACATCTATTCCCTTGGTTGTAGTAGATTCGTAGCGCTATTATGCTATATCATCTCATTTCTTTTGCAATACGACGTGCCTTCTCAGCATCGAACATAACATAACATAACATAACAATTTCGCTTTATTCCAGAAACAGTACTTGTGGTACAGTGTGGAATTTTCAGCACATATCTACAATATTGCATCTAATTTCATCGTACATTTAAAAGGAGTATTATAAAAAAAAAAATAAAATATATATAAAAAAAACAACAAAAAACCAAAAAAAAAAGAAACACAGAAATAACAAAAAAATGCAAATAAAAATACCAAGTAAAAAGGAAGATAAACACAAATAATGAAAAAAATATTTCAGTATTGGTTAGTGGAAGCTACGATATGTGTATGCGTGGTGAACAGTAACAGCTATAATCATACGGGAAATTATGAGATGTTCTTAAAAATGTTTATAGCCAAGATGATCAGTTAATTTGATTGAACAACACTAAGCAATCATAAGATAAACATTTCAGGTTGTTTTTTTTATTGTCAGCACTAATGCGGTTGTTTGTAGTGGTAGTGTGAGGAATCATGCATAATACAAAATTTTTTAAGATGGTGATAGTGGCAATAACAAACAAGATTGTCAGTTAAATAGTGCCGAACAAAGAACAACCACAAAACTAATGTTACATGATGGTTAATGACGGGACAATTTTTAATAATCATAGTGATAATATAGTCGGACCCAGTAGATGTACAAAGAAGGAATAGAATAAAGAATAAAAATGTAAGCCAATGATAATAATTTTAAGCAGCTAAGTATGTTTAAGAAGGTTGTTCACTATAGAGTACAAATAAGAGAGTGTAAGGGGGAAAAAACAAGGGCCAAAATTATGTTATTAACAACAAAGCAAGTCATAGGTTTCACGCCTAACATTGTCTCTGTCACTTAGAACACGGGCCAAATATGGTATCGTTGAGTTCCTATACTTGGTTGTGCGAGCATATATTATTTTATACTGATTTCTGGTTCTACCTGATGAGATGCAAGGAGAGAGTTGGGAATAGAGGGGGTGTTGGGGGTCAGAGAGTATGGTTTTAGACCATTTCTCACATGTATTCAGATGCTTATCCACTAATGTTGTGACGAGCTGACTGAGTTTTACACCGCTAGTCCTGCTAACTACCTTCAACATCCTTCTCAGGATGGTATAATCCTTTTTCAGTAACCCAGGAAAGACTAACGGGGAACAGTAAAGTAGAATAGGTAGGATACGAGAGTTGACAAATTGTGTAAGCAGAGGTTGAGGGACTCCAGTTAGTCTGAGTTTCTTAATGTAGTAGGTTAGACGAAACACTTTCTTGGAAATCATTTGGATATGAGATGACCAAGTAAGGTCGGAAGATATAACTAATCCGAGGTATTTTGCATTAGACTTTGTTTCAATTATAGTCCCCTCAATTCTACAGACATCATGAGTGCTTACTAGTGTTTGTAGATCTCGTTTATGCCTAAAGGAGAAGTCGACAGTCTGGCATTTTGAGGGATTCAGCGTTAGGCCATTTATTTTAGACCACTGACTGATGTCCGACAGGAAGCTATTTAATTTGAAGCAGTCTGACTGAGACTTAACGGGAAGCGAAACAGTCAGGTCATCTGCATATTTGACGAAGTTGATTTCGTCTGAGAGAGGTAAGTCATGTAAGAAGAAGGAAAAGAGAAACGGCGAGAGAACAGCACCCTGAGGAACACCAGCTTCAGTAAGCAAAGGAGAGGAAGCTACACCATTATATACCGTGTACTGCATCCTATTGGAGAAGTAAGAGTGCAGCCAGTTGATAGCCCAGGACTCAGTTTGTGTAAGGCTAAGCTTGTTTAACAAAAGGCCTCTAGGTACAGAGTCAAAAGCAGATGTGTAATCAAGGAAAGTACAACGGACATACTTGGCCCCTTTGTCTAAGGAGGATACAATGTTGTGATGAAACACAGCAGCAGCATCCAAAGTACTTCTACCCTGTTTGTAAGCAAACTGCTTTGGATCATTTGAGAAGCTTAGGGAGGGAATGAGTTTTTGTAAGAGTAATTTCTCCATCAGTTTCAAGAAAGGAGAGGTAATGGCAATTGGTCTAAACTTAACACTATCTCCAGAACCAGACTTGGGTACAGGGATGATTTTAATATCTTTCCACAGAGAAGGTACATTATTATTAGAAAAAGAAGTATTGAAAATGCTTGTAAGTGGGTTACTTAAAATATCAGCACATTTCTTTAAAACAATGGCAGGTATACCATCAGGGCCTAGACTCTGGGAAGGTTTAAGAGATTTCAAACATTTAAGAACATCAGAAGTATTGAAACGATGAAAGTCACTGGTCGTGTTATTAGTTAAATTGAAGGCAGAAAGGACATTTGGAGGGCGGATGAAAGATCTATTGAGAGTATTTACATCAATAGAAGAGGCAAAATTATTATGCTTACCACAACCAGTAATTTCTCTAAAAAGCTTCCATATGTTTTCTGAGGTTTTACAAGATAGTATTGTTTGATTATAAATGTTGTTTAGTCTCTTGATTTCAGATTTAATTTGGGTGTTTATCTTCTTAAGACCAGATTTATTCTTTGTCTTGTACAGCTTCTCTTTTTCTCTACGAAGTTTTTTGAGATGAGGGGAAGAAAAACGATCCATTCTTTTGAAAATTATCTGTTTTGGACAGCATATATCAAGACAGAATTTAAGATAGTCAGTCAAATTGGAAATAGTATCATCCAGTTTGTGTTCGTTGAAAAGTTCGTTCAAACATTCCACACACCCATGCTTACTTTTGCTTCCATCGAAATAAGACATGCCTTGGCTTACTGGCTTAGAAAAATCTTTCACCACCTGATATCATTTCGTGTCCCCGATTCCAGAGAAGAATAAGTTTAGTTTTTCGTATATGTTAGGGATTTTAAGTTTCCAGGTTATATTTAACAACCCTGAAATATTCATGAAAATACATGTGAAAAACCTTAACTGCCACTGTTAGTTTTTCTGTACATGAATTTATGATGATTTTATTATCGTTCATCTCACACTATCTCACAGTTGCCATTGCCTTATGACCAGAAACACATCGCTTTTTAAATATGTAATCATGTTTCATGTTTTACTAAAAAAGATTATTGATTTCAAGCTTGACCATCATTATAATGATAGTGCCATTTGAAACGGCAAACTGAATTCACGAATTCTTACAAAAGATATGAAGAATAACCTAACGCTTATGTCCATCTCCTTGTTCATCTAATATTTCTTATATTCTGTAAATATGATCATATTGAGCATAAACTGTGTATTGAAAAACCTTTTGTTAAACATGTTGATAGGGCTTATTCATGTGAATATTCGTTTTTGTATTTTGTTTAATCGCTTGAATTCAATACACTTAATCTCATCTCATCTCCTTCTTTACTGTTACTATGATCTCACTTTTAATTTTTGACAACACCTCACCTACTTATAAAATCTTAATACCAGTTCACTTATTTAACAGTCTGAAAATGATACAGTTCGTCCACTTCAACTCCATCTCTTTAAAAATTATTTGAATTATCCGTATCCTTATCAGATATATTTTTTATTCCTTTACGTTCTCACTGGAACATAGGGCTTCAAGCTAGAGCTATGAAGTTTCGGTAGTAGTGGTGTGTATTTTTTACGAGATAGGGTTGCTAGCCTCATGCCTGTCCTTCTATCGTTATCAGCCTTATTAATGGTTTGGCGAGATGAAGGAGTGCGTCTCCCGGGGATCGAACCGAAAATTACATGAGTTGTGGTTAGCGAGCATTCTGTCTCTGTGCCGCCGACGCACATCATATATATATATATATATATATATATATATATATAATTTAAGTGTCATTTAATGCTTCCAGTCATGGTGTAGTTCGACTGCACAGCTTGAAAAAAAAGTTGTGAAGAAGAAATATTTCCTTGCTGAATTTAAACTATGTTTTTCCTTATCGGGAGACAGGAAGGCTTAATTCGTCTGAATCGTGTAGTATATTTGCATAACAGATTTCTAATAATCTGATCTGAGCAGTCCCAAACTAGGGCGAAACAGATGTCCAATACTCCCAGATTTGCCAATGGTTCTCTAACCAGTGTCAGATCATGATGAAATCCTGTAAACCAATCAAATCCCCCTACAAACCAACACTTGAATCTGATCTCTATTTGTTTCAGATTAGATCACGGATTGATAGCATTTAAAGAACCACTGAAAATCAGAGAGTACTGGACAGTTGTTTTCTCCTAGTTTTGGAACCGTTGTCAGTACACACCCACTGGGTGTCGAACCCAAGACCTTCCGATTACAAGACAAGCTCGTATACCATTAAACCACTGGGACCCGTACAATGGCCCATAAATTCCAACTCTTACCAATTCTTGATTTTAGCATAACCACCAACCAATGTCAATGGCTGGAACACCATCCTCACACTTGATTGGATGGACCCCACTGGTTACAACTTCTCACCAGAAATTTAGGCAACTTCCTCCTGTATTCAGTTCGAAAAACGTATTTTCTCAGTGTGAAACCTGATCAGAATTTACTGAAGGGCATATTCCTTCTTTGAATACACTGAGAATATGTCGCATCACAGGAAATGAGTTTTAAAATGTAATTCCGTTACTACTGAGATATCACTGTGGGCGTTAAAGAAAGACGTCATTTTGATTAGAATTCATTGGTCCTCAATATCATTTTTTCACCTAAATTATTATTTCATTTGTATTAAAAAAGCTGTTAAGGCCAACGAATGTGCAACTATTGTGTGTGTGATTTAATGCAGTTATCACAGAATGCCTAGTTACCTGTTTCGACTCTTAGTTTTCCGCTACAGGATTTCACGTACATTTATCAACGACAGTCCAACTGTTATTCACTGAACATAAATTGTAATGCATTTTAAAATTTCTCATCGTGTCTACTTGAAGTCCAACACGTAAGTTTTAAAATTAAATGGTACTTTTTGTACACATTTACTCTTTCATTGATGTATCTCTGCTGCCTAAGACTTAGAGCGAGTGTATGCCATTGGAAATAATACGAGTTTACTCATAGATGTAAACATGAAACCACCATTAGTAAAATACACTCTATGTAATCGCAGTCATGGGATGTGATTGCAGCCTTCAATTATGCATATGTGTTGAATTCTTTATGAGCCTACACACTCTGCTAAGGATTCCCAGTCTATTAAGAAATGACACTCATGTTATTCTCAGTTGCAATGGAATTAAGCACCTGATGAAATACACCTTGATGCCAGTGAATTTCTAACTAATCTATAACTTGATTATTATATTTTATTGATTACAGAGGGAACTGATAGCAATTTCTTCACTACAAAACTAATTTATATTTATTCTCTTGATAGCCCAGACTTCAAGTTAGTTTATACCAAAGTCGTTTTAAGCGTAATTTCTGTAAAATAAATTTCAGTTGGCAAACAGGTGATATCAGTTATATGGGTTCGCTGAAAGATCAATAGTTTCATTCTCAGGTTTACAAATAGTAAAGTGAAACCCAGTACACTTTGTATGTCTTTATCACCTTTTTCATATATATTGTAATTAAAATATTGGCTTCCTACAATATTCAAAATATTTAAACCTATTAAATCATAATCAAAAGACAGAGGCTGGCCTGTGACTATGACATAATGTATTACTGTTCATCTATTAGGAAGCAAAATATCATATTTATACACTTTCTTTACCATAATAAAGTCAGCTGACAACCGTGAGAATAGACTGTTCTTATTGACTGAAAATGTCTATACTGATTGGTCGGTGGCCTATTAATTCCAATTCCTGCCAGTTACATCTTCATGCTTTAATGTTGCTGTATGAGGCCTATTGTATCAAGAATTTTTCGCTTACACTTTTGTCCAACTGGTGCCCATACAAACTAGGAGTATTTGCAATTGATAGTGTTCTCTGAGCTCCTTGGTTTAATTGCGGAGCTTTCATCGTCTTTCTGGACGACATCTTCAGCGCAGTATTTAGGATAAAGTGAAATGATTTAAATTTCTTCATGAGTCTCCCGGTAACCATCTTTAGATATTTATTGACCGTTTTCTATTGATTGGGATTTTAAACTTTCTGACCACCTGATTTACTTCTTATTAGTTGGTATATTTCATCTATATTAACGTGTTTATTAATTGCGTTTTCATTTGAGTACCAGGCTTCTAGGAATTCTCTGGCACATTTGGTGTTTCCTCTGTTTAAGATTTTGACCTTATCCCAATCAAATTGATGTCCATGATCGTCTGAATGTATTGATACTAAAGAATTTATATCATGTCTTTTCACGGCTGATTTGTGTTCCTGGATTCTTATTCGAAGGGGACGCCCACTTTGGCCAATGTAATGTTTGTTACAGTTCACACAATTTATTTTGTAAATGGTGTTAATTTTATCTCCCTTTTCTATCGGATCTTTTAGTTCGCATAAGATGGAATTAAGCGATTCAGCTGGTTTGTGTCCTACATCTATATCAAACGGTTTCATTACTCTAGCCGTTATTTCAGAGATGTTTCTGATATATGGTAGGATGAATTAGATGTCTTCGCACACAGATCAAATACTCAACTATACTATCAACAATCCAATTACTCACAAAAGAAACTGTGTGCAGACATTGTTTAGAAGAATTCAAACACATTGTAGCACACCAGAGTTGAAAAGAATGGAAGAAAGATACTTACAAACGGTGTTCAAGAAGAATGGTTATCCAAAAAATTTCATCAAAAAGTGTTTAAAATCGAATGAAAGCACCAACAAAGAACCATCACCAAAGACCAAAAAGCAATTCATCCTACCATATATCAGAAACATCTCTGAAATAACGGCTAGAGTAATGAAACCGTTTGATATAGATGTAGGACACAAACCAGCTGAATCGCTTAATTCCATCTTATGCGAACTAAAAGATCCGATAGAAAAGGGAGATAAAATTAACACCATTTACAAAATAAATTGTGTGAACTGTAACAAACATTACATTGGCCAAAGTGGGCGTCCCCTTCGAATAAGAATCCAGGAACACAAATCAGCCGTGAAAAGACATGATATAAATTCTTTAGTATCAATACATTCAGACGATCATGGACATCAATTTGATTGGGATAAGGTCAAAATCTTAAACAGAGGAAACACCAAATGTGCCAGAGAATTCCTAGAAGCCTGGTACTCAAATGAAAACGCAATTAATAAACACGTTAATATAGATGAAATATACCAACTAATAAGAAGTAAATCAGGTGGTCAGAAAGTTTAAAATCCCAATCAATAGAAAACGGTCAATAAATATCTAAAGATGGTTACCGGGAGACTCATGAAGAAATTTAAATCATTTCACTTTATCCTAAATACTGCGCTGAAGATGTCGTCCAGAAAGACGATGAAAGCTCCGCAATTAAACCAAGGAGCTCAGAGAACACTATCAATTGCAAATACTCCACCTGAGTTACAAATCTTTTCTATTATTTCAAAAACTAGGAGTATTTAGGCTATATATTTACATATATATCTTACATTTTTAATCTTTCAGCTTCAGTGTCTCCTGAAGGAGGTAAGAATTTGTCCTCTGAACTTCATAATTATTTAGTAATATTATTTATTTTTCCAAAAATTTCAGAATGAATAATCTATTATAATGAAATTTTATATCAAAAGAAATATAAGTTGGCTATTATTATTATATCCTTTAATTCCTAGAGGAACATAGGGCTTCAGCCACGCGTCTCCATTGCCTTCGGTTTTCCGCCAACTTTTTCACCCCTCTCCAAGTCTGCCCACATGCTTTCATCTCCTCTTCACATGACCTCCTGTAAGTCAGCCTTACACTGACGGCCAACTCGCCGCCCGCTTCCCTTTCGGGTTCCACTCGAGCGATGGCTTGTCTAGTGATGTCACTCAATTCATGGTTTCCTCAGAGAATGGCCAGCCAATCCATCTCCATTTCTTCCTGCGTATTTGTTTCACAGTCGTTTCCTGGCTATATCTTGTGAAAAAACAGTATCCTCATTTTATTCGATAAACGTATCTAAATGAGACAACATTATTGATTCGGCTATTGAATCAGCTTTGAGTAGATAATCCAGCACATGACTTTACCCTCATGATTTCAAGCATCAGTTAGGAGTTTTGAATAGTTCTTCATTATGTTACCGCATTACTTTGAAATGGAGTTTCAGTAAAACAAATGAAATTTATGAAACATATGATGTGAATTTAGAGGTTACACTGAAAGACTGAAATATTTATTCTAGGGTGTACAAATAACAAGCTGGCCACATTATTCTACCCTTCTTTATTGTTTTGATTTTCATGGAAGTCTGCTTTCCAACAAGTGGACTGATGTCATTTTCATTACATTAGGCAAACTACAACTTATAGTGACGATTCTGTAGTGACCAAACAAAAAACATCTCTGCAGAGGGTAAAATTGTAGTAAATACATCAAGGTTTTCAATTAAAATTATGTGAATTTCGTTATGTACTCGTCGAGTAGTTAATAGTTCTGACGCGGAAAGAGGGAAATCAGAAGACCACCAGGTTTACGATGATATTTGTATTTTCGAGAGAAGGAAAATAAATGTCACACAAGAGCGTCAGTGAAATGGTATGTAGTGTACGAAAACGTGGGAACAAGTGTCTAATACAAAAGTATATATGAAAATGGCTAATACACATGAACCAATAAATAGACAGTCTTAACATGATTGGTTGTAATGTCATGTAACAACAAGCTCATACAATGTTTATTTAGTTAGTAGATAGACAAAAGAATATTGTCAGTTATAATGAAATATCGATCCATATACACATAGCAAAATATAATAGACTGTCAAAAACAAAACACACATCATGTGGAAACATATCAAATTTTGACCACAAAGCCCTATTAGAAAGTATGCATTATATCAGATTTGATGAACAGTGAAATGTATGCTGTTTAAAATTAATTGGAGAAGTACCAGCGTTAAGCACCAATAAAAATAATAATGATCTAAAAATATTATTGTTATCAGTCTCTTGAGTTCCAAGTGGAACATAAGGCTTCAATAACACATTTGCACTTCCTTCTATCCTCTGCTCCCCATAATCCCTCATCTCCTCCTCACCACACGATCTCCCCGATGCCATCCTCGCACCGACAATCCACTCATCGCTTCCCACTGGGATTTCACTCGAACTATTAGCTTGGCGTGAAATGTCACCCGACCTTCTCCTCACTGTATGCCCGATCCATCTCCATTTTCTCCTAAATATTTGTTCAACAATCAGTTCTTGGTTGGTTTGTTGCCAGCTGCAGAGTTTCTTGTCGCTAATTTTTTTCTGGCAAGCCAGCCGTTTGATATTCAGTATGGAGCCAGTGAAGGCAGCTGTTGATAAATGTTTTAACTTGCTGGAAATCCTTTCCGTGACACTATGGCCAAGTCTCTGACCCATATAGAAGAACTGACACACTTGACATTTTTAATTGGCAATTATGATCTTGATCTTTACTCAGAGACGGAGCGCAGAAGATTTCCAAACTGGTTTCAGGTTGATGAAAGCTTATTCTGGTCTTCCGATTCTGACTGGTTCACTTTGATATCTTCATCTGTACCATCCGTCTGTGGTTGAAACAATGCTTCCTAGATAGGTGAAGGAACTTCACTTCTTCAAGTTACTCCCATTGATAGTGACTGATGCTGGTTTTTATCGCTGCTGGTTGGTTATCTTCATCACCTCGATCTTTTCTATGTTCACCTGCAGTCCTGTCTTCTCTGACAGCCGCTCCAGCTAGTTGGTTGATTTTCGCCTCTAAGTCTTCGAGTATATGTGACAGTAGACATAAATCACCCATGCGTGAAATCCAGATTTTCTAGATTCTTTTTATTGATGGTCCAGCATACTCCATTCTTTTTACTCCTCATGCAGAGTCTGACGCATAATCCAGTACACTACAATTAGGAATGTCATTGGTCATAATAGGCAGCCAACTTGTCTCACTCTTGTATTTACTGATAAAAAAAACAGTTACCTAAAATAAACAACAATTTTTGAAAACACTTTGAATTTTGCATTATCCCATCAATATTACTTGATGTGATCTAGGATAAGCTGTAAAAGATTTTGTTTTTCATAGTGAAAGAATAGTACAATCCACGTAAACGTTGTTTATGCTGACCGAGACATCATCATGAGAGAAAGTGTTGTTGATGATGTTGTTTTCCATGTCTCACGAATGCTGAAAAGTATAATATAATTTCTCGAAGATGGTAGAAAATTCATGTATTACGGCAGCTTAATCTCCGTGAGATGTACCTACACTGTTACACAAGTAATTCATATCTGCGAGAGTAAAGTAGAGCTATCCAGTAAGTACATATAAAATGGAGCTCATCAATGGATTTCAAAGTTTGAAAACAACGATACTTCTCATACGGAGGTGTTTAACATGAATTTTTCCAAATATATGAAATGTAGAAAGTTTATCGATATTCATATTTACAACTTCAAGAATGGACCAAATCTCAGTAACCCTTGTTTGTTGAATTTACAGTGTTACCAAATCATAGGGCAGACATTAAATCACAAACTATGTTACTGGAAAATTGAATAGGAGGAGAATCGGAATATAAACTGTGTAATAATTGTTTCAAAATATTTCAGGCTCAATGCCTTCTGCTACGCGTAAGAATCTATATTTTTCATTCATAGTGCTTTATTAATATTTGTTATATCTCCAAAAGCTTACGTTGAGAATTCAGTGCTTTTTTGTTGGGAGCGAAGCTTAATCACTTCAACTTATTCTGTTTGTGCAGACGGTTAGTTAGGACATCAGTGATGATACTGAAAAAAGATTTGTCTGTGAATAACTCGTTACAGACACATGATATTGGACAAATGACTTTAAACGCAAATTTGGTACTGTGAGGTAGTGAATATAATAATGTCACGTAATAATTTTTCTTCCGTTCCAAAAGAAGCTGGGAAACGATGGAACATTCGTGGTTAAATCTCATCTGGATAAATGTTATACGGCCAAACTTTCATCCAGATACAGTTTCCTTGGTTTATGTCATTCTCACTGAATATCAGCGCAAGGGCAAACCATTTAGTTCAAGATCCCAAACGCATATGAAGTCTTTTAATTTTACTTATTTGCATTCGAACTAACAAGTATTATGAATTTTCAGTATTCATTGGTTCTAGTGCTCCATCTGAGACTGTAGCGTCAAATATGAGCCCTAATAAAGGTTTCATATGTTGGCAAATGCAGTGAATGGTTAGCGTGACGATTTTAGTGGTAGACAAACTGGGGCACGTAATGTGTGTACTGTCCTGAATGCACTCAGAATCCAAAGGCTTTTGTTCCTCAGGACGATGGCATTTACTTTGACCTCACCGATATTCTATTACTATGATAAAAAAATTGCAGTAAAACTAGTTGATTTCAAAAACTAATTTACAATAAATTTAGCATTAAGATATACCTTCCTGTAAATTTACATCCTTCTTCTTACTTTCGAAATATTTTAGCTCCAAAGGGCAAAGAAACATGTAGGGATTTACATTCTGCAATGTAATTGTACTAGTTATTTCTGAAGACACTTATCCCAAATATATTTTTTATAATGCACTGCTTTGCTACGTCTCTATCAAGCCAACGTTGACTTCATAAGTATGCATGCATATGCTAATAGTTAAATGTTACCCGTTAGACAACAGTCACTACAGATTCTCGATATCTCGCCGTCTACACACAATAATGCTACAAGGTTATTGGTTCAATTACTTGTTTTACCTGTAAGCACCAAAGTTCTTTCAATGCTCCACATATATGACATGAAGTCAATCGCTGTTTTTAGTGTAAACAATAATCATGTAATAGTTAGACCATATGGAAGGTATCTCTAGATTTTTTTAAACGGAAAATGACTGATGAAATCTGATTACTTGTAAGCGTCTATTCACATTCGATTTGCATTTTCTTAGACGTCATTTCCTACTAAAAAGAATTTTGCTTTAAAATAACGTGCCATGGACACTGTAGGTGCACAATCTCATACTTCTCTATTTCTAGCATCTGGTGGTTTATTAGATACGTTACTTGGGTGAGAAATATTATTTGTCAGTAATATATTAGTAACTCATTATAATTCATTTTTCTTTCATATGCGTGACATCCACATAGGATAGCAGGTAACAACGATTACTTCAACAATGTTCTGTAATTGACCGAATTGAAATATTGTAGAACTTCTATGGCAGTAAAGAAAACATGTTAGAATTAAAGCTGTACTTATAGGTGTACACAGGACAATTAATAGTTAACGGTGTCACAGAAATAAGCAGCCGCTCTTACACAGCTACTTTGCAACTAGACTTCACTGTTATTTATCAGCTGCATCTCTCCTAATTATTTCTTACTTTTCGACTTCATTCACACCACTTATTCCTTCTCAGTGATTTTCTTTAGACTCATTTTAGAATTTACTCTTTTAGTGTGAATAAATTATTTGCAAAAGAGTTAGATGGATATCGTCTGCTTCAGATTGAAAAATGCATTAGAAACCTCAGTGTTTCGTCCTAATTCAATAAATGCGATAACGTGAAATCTGAAATATTAAAACGCTATCACAAACCATTGGCTAGCTGGTTTTTGAATGCATCATATCAGTCTGTGAATGTTGTTGATTATAAATTATGAAATGACTCTACATTTTGTCGATATTTAACTCAGCGCAGGTAAGTTCATAAATAATGTTTGTATATTCATGTAAACAATCACGTCCTCAATATAAATCGTAGAATCAAATTAATATAATAATACGACAGACATTGAAACCATAAAGAGTATCTATAGGTTACTGAAAAAATATTACTGATTTTACTTAACCCGAGCCTTAATTTCTGTGATCTAAAACCCAGTCTTATCACCATATTACACGCGACAGTGAGGCTAGTAAATGATGATAATAAACTAACCCCTGAGTACTGTTTTTCAGTGACCGAACACATGTTATCAAGTATTTTCACCGCTTCGAGAATAGCCGATAAAAGAAATATCCCGTGATTAGTAATTTCAGTATGCTAACCTATTGATTTACATAATGTATACATATCAGTGTAATGAAGTTGGGGAGTTAGATTGTTGCGGTGAATACTTTAAATAGTCATTAGTAGGTCAGTGAAGTGAAACTACCTGTGCTAATGATATCGCTAATTGCGAGAATGTCACACGCACATTAAACAGGTAATAACCTTCTGTTATAAAAGTGTCTGTGGAGAACTTGACTACCTTGATGTGTTAAAAGTCAATCTGAACGAAGAATAACGGAAGTTGGAATTCATGGGCTGGCCACTGGATCGACTCCCAGTGGCTCTATGGTCTACAAGCCCACTTTGTGACCGGTGGTGTTTGGTTCGAACCCCGATGAGTTCGTTCTCTTGCAGATTCCCAGACTAGGACGGAACAGCTGTTCAGTACTTTCAGGCTTCCCACTGGTCTTCTAACGAATGTCAGCTCATGATTAAAATAAGTATTTGAATAAGGCATTAAGAAGACAAATTTCGCGAGATGATGTCATCATTTCCTAGTTTCTTTACAACCGCTTTACAACTAACGTGGTTAACAGTAATAAAATAAAGTTCATGACAATTACTCAGTAAAATAAAAAAACAAAAGTACATACTAATGATCTGCAGTTGCGGTGACCCCTATATAGGTAGGACCAACAGAATATTCCAATGTCGTCGAAAAGAACATATTCCTGAATGGTTACTAAAAAACATTGAAAATCCTAGTGCAATTAATCTGAATAGAAATCCAACATCATCCATTGCAAAACACTGATGTCAGCTCATGATGAAATCCTCCATGCAATAAAAAACTTATTAATGTCTGGTCACAAAATCAATATTAATGACTGTTTCACAATTATTTCATCACATAACTGTAATTCAAGGTTATTGAAGGTGATGGAAGCACTTTGGATTAATCACATACAGCCTAAACTGTGTATACAAAAATCAATAGACTTCAATCTTCGCCTACCATGACCTATCTAAATGTGATTGGTGATTAGTATGTACGGTTGTTTTTTATTTAACTGAGTAATTTTCATGAATACAATTGGTGGATGGTGGCTAGCAGTGGAATCCAGGATGCGCATTTCGTCCTAATTGGGACTCGTCAGCTGGATGTACCTGCATTTCTCAGTGAGTGATGATGTTCCCACCGAGGCTCGAACCCATGTTAGTTGTAAAGCGGTTGTAAAGAAACTACGAAATGATATCATCTCGCGAAATTTGTCTTCTTAATGCCTTATTTAAATTTATAAAAGGGACTTATTGTTTTAAAATAAATATTATTTGTGTGACAAGCGTGATAGGCTGAATTTAATTAAATAATATTGTGAAATAGGAGATAGTGGTGGTGACTGGTTATAACAATTTCATGCAATGTGGGGTAGGAATAATTGACAAGTCAGTTCAAGGTTCTAATAGCCACTTACTTGACACCATTTTACGAATCTGTTATGACTAATCAGCACAACTGTCTCCCATTTCACAATATCTTGTAATCGATTTCGGCGTAGCACGTTTGTCATACAAATGATATTTGACTGGTGGGAGGATTTCATCATGAGCTGACATCAGTTAGAAAACCATCGAAAAACTTGGGAGTTATGGAAAGCTGTTTTGTCCTAGTTTGAGACTCTTCAGGACTACGCATCCACCAGAGTTCGAACCCAGGATCTTCTGGTTACAAGGCGACCAATCAAATTAAATACCTACTCAAAAATTGATCTGATGCTCACTAGTGACTGGCCGTATTCAGGCCAGTTCTAGTGGGGAGCCGTGGCCAGTAAGGTAGGGCAGGTTGAAGGTGAGGTAGTTACTCGTCGAAGAAGACATTACGAAATGGTTACGCTATGTCATGATTTGACAAAAGCTAGAATTCATGGTTCACTGAGTCAGGTCTCAGTGGCTTAGTGGTGTAGGAGCTTGCCTTGTAACCGGTAGGTCCTAGGCTCGAACTCCGATGAGTTCGTTCGCTTGCAGAGTCCCGTACTAGGACGAAACAGCTATCCAGTACTCCCAGGTTTTTCCAATGGTTCTCTGATTGATGTCAACTCACGATTAAATCCTCCAACCAGTCAAACTAAATCCCTACGAAACCAACACTTGACAAATACTATTTATTTTGACACCCATAACCAATCAGTTATTCTGCGTTAAAAATGTTTCCGTCGCATAACTGGCCATTATTGCAACGATAACAAATATTATATTTTATAATTGTAAGAACCTGAAGAGAAACTATTAGGAAGAATAATTTTCTTTCAGATTGACTTTTAATTCATGATATTGAAATATTTCACACTATTAAACCTTGATGTGTACTACTTCATTTTCATTTTTGAAGCAACACTGATACATTAGCTAGAAGCTGTGTACATTAGTGATTGTAAGGAAATCCACTCTTTCATATATAAGTCAAGTGTAGTGCTTTTAACTAACCTTCATTCTTCATTACCTCGAACATTTAATGACTGATATTTGAGAACAATATTATGGTAATGACTGAAAATGAATTCAACATGAACGGTTATGCAAACTTACGCTAGCTAGTCTACAAACTCTCCTGTTCAAAAGTGGTGACTCTACTTTTCATAATTTTCATAGTTAACAGTTTCCTTCCTGGACCCGGTAGCGAGTGAGTAATACGTGATACAGTTTTATTTAAATATCTCAATATTTACACAGTTTATCAACCGACCGCAAACTACATTCATCATAGTGGTTACTGAACTGCAATCGTTCGGTAACCAGTATCAGTAATAATGGTATATTATTATGGCCTCGTATTTTCAATAGAATATCAAGTTCTGTGTGCAACGTGCAATGAATTTCATTCCAAACTCTCTCAAATCATCTATCACCCAGAAAAAAAACATCATTCCCTGGAAGAACAATCGCGTCTATGACAGTTTTGCAATGTAGTAATGTAACTCAGGTAACAATTAAAGTATAAATTCAGAAAACGTCCTCTTAAGGGGGGAAAATGACTCTCCATTGAATGCTATCATTAGTAAGTGATTGGTGAGATTAGGGCTCATACTAAGTGAATTTTCCTAATCTCACTTCAACTAGAGGATGAATTTACTTCATCCTATCACTTGCATATTTGACTGCTGATCAAACAGACCGTTCTGTCGAGTTCATTTGCTCAAGCATATCACTTTCACACTTACATGACAGGAATAATAGCCGTGAGTTTAAGACAAAATACTGTTTAATTTCGCACAAATCGAAGGTCAAATAAACTAATATCTTAACAGTTACTTAATTTTTTATCACTAATGTACGAACATCGCCTGGAACTCGGCTAGAAATACTACCGACGGTACGTGCAGAACTGTCTGCCAGTGGACACCGATTCTTCAACTAAGGCAGAAATCCTAAATGCGATCACGCTACTGAAAGTTATACGTGAGGGCAAGGGGACCAGACGGAATTTCCCCAAACGCATTGAAAACGGACCAAGAGACTGCGGCAGATGTGCTAAGGCCATTGTTGTACAATGTTTGGGAGGAAGGAAAGGTATCTACCAATTGGAGGAAAGGCTAGCTACCTTATCACAGTACCATAGGAAAGTGTACTAGGCCTGTACAAGGACTGGTGTGGAATCATGTTCTTGTTCACGCCAAGTGAAATACTAAGTCGCATCATCCTGAAGTGAATAAAAGATGCACTGGACGCAGAACTCCACCCAAGTGAAACAAGCTGGATACAAGAAGGGTGAATCATACGCTGTTCGAATTGCAGCTCTACGCATCGCCATCATATAACAAAGCATAAAATGGCAGTTTAACCCGTAAATTAACTTCATGGACTTCGAAAAGGCTTTTAATAGCGTTGACCGAGAAGTAATTTGGAAACTACATCAGCACCAAGGTGTACAGCACCCAAGTCTTTATCAACCTCATTCAACACCTGACCATATGAAAATGCCAAGTATCGAGTAATCCACGCATTGGAAAACTCAACGAGGCGTTCGAAATGAAAACAGGAGTAGGATAAGCTGGTTGTATATTATTACCAACAGTGATGTTCTTAATTGTAATGGACTGAATTATGGATTATGGTACTCGAAGTGAATACAGGAATAAGACAAGATAGCTACCTTTTATCACCGATGATAAGCTTAATTTTGGTGAATTGGATTATGCGTCAGACTGTGTGCTAGTGTAACAACAGAAGACAAGGGCCAGGCAACAGATCGTTTTATTATGAAAATCAACACGTATTTATACATCTTTCAACTACATTATTATAGACAAGCGCAGTCATCTGATTGGTTGTTTAGGTAGACAAACGCAGGCTTCTGATTGGTTGTTTCGGGATTCCTTGACAAATAGAGTTCTCTCTGCGAATCACATTTTGCCACGTTAACTTTGCTGTGATTGGTTGTTGACTCAGGCTTGTTCACGGCCCATATTAGTGACCTAGACCTTAACGTAGATTAGTGCCAACCAATCGGCTAGCAGCCTGCTCTCACCACACTCGTCCCCCCGTCAAATACGTGCGACTGAAGTCGGCTTGATCTACTTGGTGCAGGCGTCATCGTTGGCTTGTCTCGCTGTATCCATTTCTGGAGCTCGCTGACGTTCACGCGCCTCTCATTGTTCGCCATTGCGACTGTGTCTGTGTAACCCCATCTCGAAGTGACCATATATGGTCCTTCCCACTTTGGAAACTGTTTGCCTGACCCTGT